GGGCAGGAGGACGGGTGGGTGACCCCGCGGTCTGGGGCGGGGTTGGGGGGGGCGGCTGAGGACAGAGGAAGAGCCCTCCACGCAGCCCCCGCCGCCAGGGCCGAATCCCGGGCGACCCCTGCGGGCGGGGGTTGTTGCCCCCGCTCTAGGCTCGTCTTCCCTCCTCTTCCCCCCTCCCCCCGCGTTGCCCCGGGCAACAGCGCCTACCGCCGGCGGCGCGAAACGCACCTACCTAGAACCTGACAAGCAGGAGCCCCTCAGATTCGGGAGCCAGTCACCACCCCGCGTCACGGGGGCTGCCACAGCCAATAGACGCTGCTGTCACGAACCTCTGCGGCCAATCCCGCTGCACTCCGGTCTCAGGGCACCCTCGAGGCCTCACCCAATAGTCAAGGACGGAAGGCGGGCGCTGCCGGCCGGCCCCCAACCCCCTCCTCCCCTACCTCCCAGGGGGCGGGGCGCGGCCGATTGGCCGGGACCCCGCAGCGGGCGGGGCGCGGACTTGACGCCGGGTGGGCGCGCGCGTCGTGGGGCCGCGGGCGCGAGGAGCAGGCGGCGTGGAGCCGTGGCCGCCGCCCTGGGAGCCCGCCCCGCAGCCGGGGTGGGGTCCCGAGGTCCGCGCGGTCCGCGCCGCTCTCCCCGCCCCGGTAACCTGCTTCTGCCTCGCCGGTGTCCCAGGCTGCCAGGGCTTGAGGGGGCCGGAGGCGGACGGCAGCGTCACAGGAAACTTTGGGAGGCTCGCCTGGCCGCGGCCGGGAAGTGGCCGGCCCGGGGGTGATAAGCTGGGGCCGCCTGGAGGAGACTCCTCGGCGGGTCGACAGCCGGAAGGGAATTCGCATAGTGGGGGCGGAGGCGTGATTAAAATGTTAAGTGTGCCCGCCGGCTGCTGAGCGTTCCCCGGAGCCGCGATCCCCGGGACGCGACGCTGCTTATGTGCCGCGGGCCTCCCACCCCTGAAGACTCACTTTTCACCCTCAGAATCACTCGCTTCTTTCCTGCATGCCCCCACATTTTACTTGCATTTGCTGCTACGTTTATTGCTTTAGAATGGTCTTCGGCTCCTGCAGGGTACTCTGAATCCCTTAAGGGCAGGAACTACGTCTTTTTTCTGCCCTGTATTCCCGTTGCAGAGACTGCCTAAAAGATGCTGGGATTGTGGTGGATGCTGTCAAAAAGCGTGCAGCAGGTCCTAGGAGTGCTCCGCTCTAGTAGTAAGGCCTTACCTCGTCGAGAGTCTAGACTGCGTGGAGAACCCAAACTGGTTTGCTCTTCCAGTGAGGGCTGATTCTGAATGTCCTTCACCAAAAGAAATTGGTGAAAAATGCGTAATGTGAACTAAAAGATCACTAGGTGATGTGTAGCCGTATGGTAGGTATCATTCGTCACTGTTCGAGGGCGTGGCCCTCCCATGTTCCTGTAACAGTCTTTTTAAGGTTTTGTATCTTCTAGGTTGGTTGAACCACATTCTTTGCCTGAAGCAAATCTAACATCAACCCCATATTCGCCCTCCCCCTCCGAAACTTTTGAGTTTTGTGGGAGCCAAAGAGAAATGGATTTTTTTTTTTCTAAGCAGGGTTATTTATTTGACTGTAGTGAAGAGCAAACATACTTCTATACACGTAGAAAAATATAAATCTGAAGTTGCACTTTGCTTGTCTGCTGTGTCAAAGCCAAAGAAACAAAAACAAATTGAAATTAAACATAAGAAGCTTAATTCTCCCTGTTAAAATGGGGCATGAGGTTCACCTTCCCTTCTTTTTCTCAGATCATCTGCCTTAGAAAACTACATTCTTAATTGTTAAGTACTTTCTCGTCTCTTTGAAATGCATATAAATCCGTCTGAAGACCATATGGGTCTTTTGTCAGCTTTGGGATCCAAGAATGTCTTTGTCTAGAACCTGAGGGCCTTTTTTTTTTTTTTTGAAATCCTGCAAATACCAAGAGATAAAGCATCCCTCCCTATCTCCCAGCTCCTGTGAGAGAGTAGGATTCTAAGTCCTATGGCCAACATGCTGTAAATTGCAAACATGTCTTAACGATATGAAATTTGCTTTTCCTCTGGCTAAAGTCAGTTAGTTAAGATGGTAATCCCACATCCTAAATAAAAATGAATTATATGTGGCGAATGGTACTGTCAAGTCCTCTTACTAGAGGACTAGCTACTGTCTTGAAAACATGTATGTAATGGGTTGTATCTTCTTGGCTATATAAAAGATTTCTTTCTGTCTTCACAATCTGCCCTGTGATGCACATCACGTTTTAGTTTAATGCTTATTCAATAATAAGTGTTTACTTTCTCTACTTTAACCTTTGTGGAGAGGATTTCTGGGTTGAGAGATTTTGTTTTCAATTATATTTCCCCAACAATGCCTTTGCCCAGAATATTGAGATGACAAAGTTAAGAAAGTAATTAATTCTTAGTTTGTAATTTGTTCTCTGAAATGATCTCACATTTGGTGATACTTTATCACTGAACTACAAATAAATCTTAATGAAATCAGAAATGATAATGTTATGTATTTTTCAGTGACTGTTAAATGTGCAAACAGCCTCTGTGAGTAAATCTCTTAAAACAGAAGTTAATTTCTGTGAACTTTAAATATTATATATATGTCATGTCAGTAAGAATGCAGTGAATGCATTTATGCATTAAATCATTAGGTGAAGCCAAATACTACTTTGGAGAGTGCTTCATCACCAGATATCTTTCCCAAGAAACTTGGGATTTCTCTACCTTTACATGAAGGGAATCTAAATCTAGAAAGATGTGGTTGATGAATTAGTTATTACAGATTTGCAGAAAGTAGCTTTAAATAAAGGTATGGTGAAAATAGAACTGGTGGAAATACAACGGGTGTGTATATTTTTAAGGAACCCAAATCTCTGAAAACAGCATTCTTACCTTTCTACAACAATTACTCTCACCTCTTCGTTTAAGAACCTTAAAAACTGCCTACCATATGCCAGGTTTTGTGCTAGGAAATGTAATTTTGAATGAATGCACTCGAAGTATATGAATATGGCAAAAATTTATGCTGTGTTTTTGAAACTGGAAAATAAAAGCAATTATAGCAAATCCAGTTTTAAAGTTTTTCTTCTGTTATCATCATCACTTTGCATTGCAACACACTTAACAAACACTTTGTCTCACCTGATTTCAAAAATACTATGCAACTTTTTTATGTCTTGTAAAATGTAGGGAGAATTTTGAAGAATGAAGAAAAATAGTTTCCTGTCTAGATGATCCATGGGCTTCATAAAAAGACTAACCACCCCCACACGGCCTGGAGGAATGTATATCTCAGTTGGGGTTGTTAGCATAGAATTTAATAGATCTGTCTTCTATCATTAAAGCTTAGATCTATACCAGCTACTGCCATGACTTTTGATATGACACACAGTACTACCTAGCTATAGGCAAGTAAATCCTTAGTATATTGTCCATGTTCCCAAAATACCAAATTTTGTCTTCTAATAGTATTACTTGCCCAGACAAATGAATACAACAATTCGGAGATCACACCTAGGCAATTATAAAAAGTAATTGAATAAGCTGTTTACTTTGATTAGCACCATCCACTGATCACCTCATCTCTCCCCCTCCCTTATTTTCTTGCTTAAAAGTTTCTCACAGGCTTTCAGAGAAAACCTATATAAAATTAATATTGGACCACAGCGTGAAAGCTGTTGAAGAGATCCAAGCCTTGAAAAACTACAGCTGTGGTTAGAATTTAGCAACTCTGTTGTTTCTAGGTTTGCTTTCGCTCCAATAGAGGGCAATTGATTATCTTCGTGTCCTGACCCCTGGGGAGAGGGAAAACTGCCCTGCAAATCTGATACACATATCATCCCTTAAAGAATGGGTCTAAGACAGCATAGATACAAATGTTGAGGCTGAAGAACAAAAGTGACTCCAATCTCCAGGGATCCCACCTTCCAGAAACCTTCCTCTGTGATGACTCACTGCCTAGGGGCTAGTAGTTGATGGTTACAGGACTTGCTTTGTAAGTAGCATCTATCATAAAATCTAAGAATGGTATTTGAGATATTTTTCAGACTTTGTACTTTGATGAATCTGAGGCCCCACCTGGGTCCAGAACACATTCTAGAAAGCTGGCTCCATTAGTCCTATGATGACCCCTCTGCCAGAAATTGGCTCTGCAACATGAAGGTAGTTTTGACACCCCCATTACATTATCAACCAACCAGCAGTCCCTAGCCCCCTGCACATCAAATTCCCTTTAAAAACTCCCCACCCTCCAAATTCTTGGGGGAAAAGATTTGAGAATGATCTCCCATCATCCTCAGCTGCTTTGCAATATTAAACTCTCTACTGTAATGGCTGCTTTGGTCTTGGTTTTTCTGGACAGCAAGCACAAGAAGCAGGTCGGCTGTAACAGAGGAATCGGGGTTATGTGCCATCTTAGTTCTGTAGTCCCCATACTTAGCCATCTCTTTTTCTTCATCTGTGTCTCTTTTCTACCTTTCTGCCAACATCTTTGATTCGTGAATCTCTGCCCTTTTAATCCACAATTCATACCTAACCACTTGTACATACCACTCCTAAGATAGAGATGGTGATGAGGTATGCAGTATGGAAATCTGTCCTTACTCTGTGCATGCCACAGTGTGTTTTCAGTGGATATGAATTTCTTTGATTTTGAAATTTATTCTTTTGAATGAATACTGTTACTAGAGGTCATATTTCTGTGAAATTGTCTTTAGGATTGTTTTTTTGACTTTCCAGATTTCACATTTTCAGCCAGGCATGTGACTTATGCCTGTAATTTCAGCTCTTTGGGAGGCTGAAGTGGGAGAATTGCTTGAGTCCAGGAGTTCAAGACTAGCAACATAGTGAGACCCCGTGGTACAGTGGCATGTGTCTGTAGTCCCAGCTATTCAGGAGGCTGAGCAGAAGGATTGCCTGAACCCAGGAGGTCAAGGTTGCAGTGAGCTATGATCAGCCTGGGCAACAGAGAGAGACCCCAACTTAAAAAAACAAAAACAAAATTCAGATGTTCAGCATGGTTATGTGACTTCCTTTATTTTTCAAATTCATATAGGGAAAATAGGGAGAGGGTCAAGAGGAGGGAAGAAAATAAGGTGAAGCAGAGTTGGAGGAAAAAAAACTTCTACTATGCCTTCAAACTAGATGTAAAGTCCTTTAATACCATCTCACAACCATTCCTCCTAGCCAGAAGTTGGCTGTCCTGGCACTCTAATATTTGTTCTCTTGCTACCCTGACCTGCTCTCCACTGAGAAATACTATCACCAGCATTCCTATTCAAGTATGCACTCTCCAAAATGCCCCTGGACCACTCAAGTCCTGTCCCTTTTAAGCCATTCTTTTATCAGAATTAACCTGTCCTTTTCCTCATTTCCCTGTCCTTGGTTCACTGTGCCTTCAAAGGTAACTATAAAATATGTACCAATAGTAGGGTGTGGGGATAATTATTTCTTCTTTTCTTTTTTTTTTGAGTCAGGGTCTCACTCTGATACCCAGACTGGAGTGCAGTGCCACTCTCAGAGCTCACCACAGCCTGAATCTCCTAGACTCAGGCAATCCTTCTGCCTCAGCCTTCTGAGTAGCTGGGACCACAGACACATACCACCACACTTGACTAATTTTTTTTTTTGTAGAGACAAAGTCTTACTATGTTTCCCAGGCTGGTCTCTAACTAGGCTCAAGCAATCCTCCCACTTCTGCCTCCGAAAGTGCTAGGATTACAGGCATGACCTACAGTACCCCGCCCTGCAATCATGATTTCTATGTGTAGTGTTATCAGAATCACCTTAGGACCTTTTCAAAAATACATCCCAGATTCACACACACACACACACCCCCGCCCCGACCAAAGATTCTGACTTGGATGGTCTGAGAAGAGTTGAGAAAAATCTACATGTTTGGAATGAGACTAGTGAATCTGGTCAACATGGTGAATTGAATGAACTCAGATACTTAGTCTCTACTCTCTCCTTGACACAAAATAAATACAGAACAAAGTCACCAGGAATCTAAAACCCAAGGATCTTTGAGGTTATGGGTGAGAAATGAGTCTGTAAACAACAGAATTTGATTGAAAGTCTGTATAAGGAAGGAGAAAGGAAACTAGATAACACACTGCCCTATTTCAGTCCAGAGACAATGAGATTTGCTCCCTGGTGTGGCTGCGCTAGAGACGCTCTGATCTTGAAGACATCAAGACAGCTGAGTACTCTATAAGGGTGAGGTGCCCTACTGTACTTTGGGGTGAAGGGAAAAAGTAAATGCATGTAGAACTATGTGACTTCTTCCCTCTCATCTGCCATAATGACTATTTTCAGGTTCACATCCCTTAGAGAGGATATTGGAGAATTTCTTTCTAGGGAAATTGACTCAACCAAGGAAAAATACCTTCA